CGTGGGGGGCGTGTGTGGCTGTCATGTTTCAAAGGAACCTAAGAGGAGGGAGGTGCCGGTGGTCCCAGACCACTCTGTTACTAGAAATATACCTCTGAAATGCTCAAAACAGCCTTTGAGAGACTCTGTGCCCACAGGATGGCTCACACATTGCACTGAAAGGAGAAATTTGAGAGAGGTCTGATACTTAGATCATGATCTTGAAAAATGGTGGGTAAAAATTGGGAGGAGGTTACTGAAGCAGTGTGTGTGTGGGATAGAGGATAGTCTTTTAGGTTTAAAGGTTCTAACCCTGGAAACTGGCTAGGGCTCTGACCAACCTCTACAAAGCCCAAACCGTAGAACATCCTCTCAACAGAAGCACTAGGGGCCCTCTATAGATGGATCAGGAGAAGCAAACAAAAGGCCCAGAAAGGAGCAAGGGCTGGAGAATTTGAAGGTATCTGGCTTTATACCAGGACCTCTAGCTGGAACAGTGAGAGCCAGCATATCCCAAGGCTAAAAGTCCCTCCTAGGAGCCCCAGTAAGACAGTTAGGGAATAGCTAGGGGAGGTGGGGCTCAGCTGGAATCCCCCACAGCTCTAGATCAACTGGCTGGGCCTAGTCTCAGATCTTTGAACTTCCTCATTGGTAATGGGGTCACAACTGCCTTGGCTGTGGCTGCAGAATCATCAGAGCTCTTTCATAGAAGCCCATGTTGTTACCATAGAGACACCAATCCTGAAACCCTTCAAGAAATTGACTTAGAAAAAAGGCAAAGAACCTTTTGCTGCACTGCTTCCAGCCCACACCTCTCTACTGATTCCAGGCATACATCTTGCTGGGACATCCTCTGGTGGGTGGGGTTTGGGTGCCTCTGGGCTTCCCCTTCCTCACCATTCTGCTCACCCAGCATCCAGTCTGGTCTGGATCACTTTGTGGATCACTTAAACCTGGATCCTGAGAGAATGCCCCTTTGCAACTTTTTTTGGGGGGGTGCCCAAGCCAACCACCTAGACCATCTACAAACCTCTGCCTCTGGGGCTGAGACTAGAGTCGCCTGTGGCCTCTACAGCATCATACAGTTCATAGATCTCGTCCGGGTTCCTGCAGAGATAGCTGAGATGAGGGCCTACTTTTACCTTACACCCCATGCCTGACCCCTTTCTCCCCACACTCACTGTGAGATATGTTGAGGTTTTGGGGATGGGAAGTGGGTCACAGAAGAGCCGGTCTTCAGTACAGCTGTGGAGGAGAGAGCATGGGAGGGAAGTGGCTCTATCCAGATATTTTGTCCCCTCCTCTGCCTGATCCACCTACCCTAACTCACCTATGGCTGTTGCTGAGCCTCTCCGGAAGCTTTGGATATTGATGGGAACAGGCGGTAATGGGGGCTTGACTGGAGGGGATCCCAGGCTGCTGGCTGAGGGCAGAGGCCGCCTCCGGGGCAGTTGCTGGACTTGCAAGTCTTCTGATCTCCAGCGGGGTGTCCCAGGGACTCCATAACCAGGGCTGAGGGGGAACTGGGGGCTGGAGCCCGCAAAGGCAGAGGGCAGAGAGCACTCTGATACTGAACCAGGAAGCTTGGGCTTTCTGGGCAGACCCTTGGGAAAGTCAGGCTGGAAGAACTTGCCATGTTGAGGCTTCAGAAACTTCCTGGGGAGTGAGCTGAACTCAGGCTCTGAGGATGTTCTAGGGAGATGACCCAGTTCCAGCTGTGAGGGCTTTTTAGGAAGCACTTTGAGGTCTGGGTGCTGAGGCTTCTTAGGGGCTTTTCGGACTTCAGGCTCTGAGGATGTCCTGGTAAGGTCACTTAGCTGGAGCTGTGGATGTTTTTTGGAAAATGCATGGAAGTCTGACTGTGGGGAGTAAGATGGGAGATTGTATGACTCAGGCTTCCAGGGGGGTGTCTGGGGGACCTCATAGGACATGGGCTGCTGTGGATACTTTGGGCAACCAGTGGCCTGAGGATGTGGAGGCTTCTTGAAGTTCTCATTGAACTCAGACTGCAGAGACATCTTGGGAAAGGTACTGATGTCAGACTGTGGAGAGTGGGGGTGAAACTCACTGGTCCCAGGCTTGGAGAGGGATGTCGGAGGAATTTGGCTGGACTGTGTCAGGGACTTCCTAGAGAAACCAGCAGCCTGAGGCTGCAGTGGCTTCTTGGGAAAAGTACTGGACTCAGATGGCAAGGACTTCAGAGGGGCCTCACTGGGCTCAGGCTGCCAGAACTTCTTGGGGAATGTAATAGGTTTGAGCTCTACTGGGGGCCTGGCAGGATTGCTGAGCTCAGGTTTCAGGGGCTTCTGGGCAGGTACACTAGGCTCCTGGGGCACCTCAAGCTGTGGAGACTTATTGGTGAGCTCGCCAAACTCAGGTTTGGGAAGCTTCTTGGGGAGATTAGTGAACTCAGGCTGTGGGGGTTTGGGGAGGCTGGCAAACTGGGGCTGTGGGGGCTTCTTGGAATCTGTGAACTCAGCCTCTGAGGGCTTCTTGAGACCAGTGAACTCTGGATGTAGAGGCTTCCTTGGAAGATCTTTGAGCTCAGATTGTAGGGGCTTCTTGAGTAGATCAGTGAACTCAGACTGCGACAACTTTCTGAGAACCTCTGACTGCGAAGTCTTCTTGGGGAGGTCTGCAAACCGTAGCTGCAGGGGTTTTAAGGACACTGTACTGAGCTCAGATTGTGAGGCCTTCTCACTTAATTCAGTCTGCGGAAACTTCTTCGGGAGTTTGTTGAACTCAGGTTTTAGGGTTTTTCTGGACGGTTCTCCAGGCTCTTGCTGAGAAGCCTGGAACTTAGCTTGGAGATTTCGGAAGTCCTGATTGCTTCCCTAGGAAGACATGGATCATTCAGGAAGTCTCATACAAGGCAGATGGAGAAACAGCTAGGTACCTACAGATACAGTTGGTTGTAGACACACAAACCCATCACCCTCTCCATTCCCTTAGGCTCCCATTCTACTGTTGCTTCCTCCTCTACCTCAGCCAACTTCTCTTTTTGGGTGAGAACTATTCCTGGCCTCGGATTCCTGGAAACCACACCCTCCTGACTTCTCCACCTAAGCTGTGTCTAACCTCACCTCTAACAAGACCTAGCTCCTGATGCCTCTCTACTAGCCCATGGCTGGGACACGGTATTTCCAGTTAGTGATACTTGCTTCAACCTTTGCACCTTCTGCTCCTCGTTGGTTCCCTCTTTGCCCCCTGCCCAACCACTAGGTTCTCCACAGTCCTTTTTGTTCTGATTTCAAAATACATCCGGAATCCAACCACTTCTGTCACCCCAGCTGGAGGAACTGACCCCCTCAGCCCAGAATACTGTAATGGGCTCTTCCCAGGTCTGCTGCCCTAGAGGAGGCCTGCTGACTCTCTGTTCCCAATCTCTCAGTGAGTTTTCATCTCTCCAGGGAAAGCAAACAGTCCTGAATGACTCAGCAACTTCCCTATCTCATAGCCTCTGTCCTGTCTGTAATGCATACACCTCAATGCATGAGTCTCCGCTTCCTCCTCCATGTCTTTGTGACAATATTCCTTAAGGAGATAGCACTATTTTAAGTCAGTGTCCCCTCCCCAGTTGTCCGCTTTCACCGCCCTACGTAACTGTTCTCTTTATATCTTCCATCACCTATCAAATTTCTTATTTTCTGCTTTAATGTCTTTACAAGGTTGTTTTGGGGGTTTGTATTTTTGTGGTGTTAAGGATGGAACCCAGTACCTTGCTAAGCAAACTCTGTAGCATTCAGCCTCACACCATTGACTAGGGTTTTTGTCTTGTTTATTTATTTTTTAATTTATTTTTGAAGTAGGGTCTCATATATCTCAGGCTTGTTTCAAACTTGCTATGTAGCTGAGGATAATGAACTTCTGATCCTTCTGCCTCCACCTATCATGTCCTAGGATTACAGGTGTGTGCTGCCACACCCAGTTGGACTAAACCGTCTGCTCAGTAGGCAACGAACTTGTCATGAAAGCCTGTGTACTTGAGTTCTATCCTCAGTACCCATACATAAAAAAGCAAGGAACAGCACTTGTAATCCTACCTCAGGGGAAGCCTACAGAGAAGGCCCTCTAGGGTTTTCTGGCCAGCCAGGCTAGCTAAGTCAACAAGCTCCAGGTGCAGTTGGAGACTGTCTCACAAAAGAAGGTAGAAAGCCATCAAGGAAGACCCAACCTTCACATTCATGTACACAAATACAGCTATCTACTTTAGGCCCTCTAGATCACCAATGACTATGCACATAGTAGGTCCTCAGTAAATATTTACAGAAATAAAAGTATATGCAGGACTATAAAGACAGGCACACATCCAATCTAAGATGTATGCACAGGGAGGCTTACAACATGACCCCTTCCCCAATGAGGACTAGCAGGCAGGCTCTCCACATGAGGACATGTACTATATGACATGTTCAGAACATCCCTGATGCTCTCAAAGCTGGCCATTTGCCATAAGTTACAGGTACAGGTAGATACACAAGGCAAGGCCTTCTCTGGGGGGCCTTCCAGCCTGTCTTCACTTAGGGTCAGAAGATTGGAGGACAGAGAGGGCAGAACCTTGTAAGCCTATCTGACATGGAGGGATTCAGAAGCACCTCTAGGGAGGAAGCAATTCTTGCCTAGAGTCAGACATGCCTTTGTTGAAGCCCCAGTCAGCGAGTGAGTTGAGGCAACAGCTCTAGATGACCACAGGGATAGATAAGGATTAGCAGAGCATACTTGGGTGACGACTGGCTGGGGACCAGGCTGGGGCAGCAGGTGCATGACCCACTTAGTCACCCCACAGGAAGCCTCTGGTCTCATCCCAGGTGCTGACCTGGGGTGAGGGGATATCATTCCAAGCATACTAAACCTCCCCCCCTTGCAGTCACAGATCCAAGCCTGGTCCAAAAGAGCTCAAGCTATGCCTTGACTGTTCTCAATCTTTTCATTCCCAAGACTGTTCCCATCTCTATTCTGCCAGGCTACCCATGGGGGAATATTTACCAGTTCCCCAGTTTTTGCTTATACCCATTGTTTCCTGGCCAGAACGGACTTCACTGGGGGGCTTGGGGACTTACCATAGCTTCTGGGGATGGTGGACCACAGGGTGAGTGGGCTCTGTGCTTAGGCTGCTGCTTTGAGGAAGTATCTGGTTTCTGCTCCACAGGCTGACGCACAAAGTAGGGGCTGTCGGGGTGGGGAGGGCAGAGGAGGAAGGAGGCGGAGATGGCCTGTCTGTTCCCTCCTTGAGTTCCTGCCTGCCTACTATTGTCCCCAAGCTCAGGTAAACAGACCTAAGCACATCTCTAATGCACACAGTTACTAGCTGTCACTAGCCTCTTGATTCCCTACTGTCCCCTTTACTCTGAACACATTGGAGTCTTGACAGGCTTTGATTCCAAAGAACCAGGCAAGCCCAAACTCAGGACAGCCACAGGGACAGAGTACCTGAGTGGGGATGCTATGGTTTGCTCTGGGGCTTAGGAAGTCTCTGTAAAGAGTTAGAGCTAGGATATGGCTGGTGCAATGGTGAGGACATATTTGTCCTCCTGTGTTGCTTCATCTGCCTTCCTTGTTTCAACACTTGTACTCTCAACAGGACTTCCCTGTTAAGGTAACAAATGCCCCACCGGCCAGGGCTGAGCACCCAAAGCATAAGGCTCAAGTGGGATAGCAGATTTGGGGGTGGGTAGTGTTAAAGACTTGTCACTGACTGAGTGAGGGAATATTATTGCCCTTGTGGTGGGGGCGCAGAGGCAGACAGATCTCTGTGAGTTCAAGGCCAGCCGGGGCTACACAGTGAGACTCTGTCTCAAAAAACAACAGAAAAAGTTGAGACCCTGTTGAAGCAAAATAGCATAAAATAAATCTGAGGTTTTAGCGCTGTTGGTAGAGTACTTGTATAGAACACACAAAACCTTGGGTTTGAGTTCCAGAACCACATAAAACAGCACTTGGATGGCACATGCCTTTAATCCTAGCACTTGAGATGTAGAGGCAGGTAGATCTCTATGAGTTTGAGGCCAGCCTGGTCTACAGAGTGAGTACCAGGGCAGCCAGAGCCATATAGAGAGATCCTGTCTCGAAAAACAAAACAAACAAAAACCAGTGCTTGGGAGGTAAAGACAGGAGGATCAGAAAGTCCCATCGTTTGATGCCATCCTGGTTTAAACCCAGTCTTAAAAAATACATGTTTTGGTTTAGGTGACAAGTCTGCTATTGGGTGGTATGAGACTGATGGAATAGCAAGAACATGTATAACTCTTGGGAATGAACCAGTTGAGGTTTCATAAGCTTATTTAAACAGAAAGCTCAAACAGGGAGACAAGCCTCCTTTATTTTAGTACACAGCATCAAGATTCTGATGCCTGTGTATTTCATATTGGGTCATAGTTCCCAGAGGTTGATCTGCTTTTACAGGAGTCCCAGGTAGACAGGGATAACCAAGTCTGTGTTTTTTGAGTTTCCAGAATCTTGGTGAATGGAGTCAGAGGTAGGGATATAAAAGAAGCCACACCTATAATCCCAGCTACTGTGGAGGGTAAGGCAGGTGGATCACAAGTTCAATTCAGGTTTGGTAATTGAGTGAAGACCCAGTCTCACAACAGAAAACAATGGGCCAGTGAGATGGCTGGGGGTGGTGTTGGTGTTGGTGGTGGTGGTAAAGACACTTGCTATATAAGCTCGATGACCCAAGTTCAATTCCTGGAACCCATGTAAGGTGGAGAGGAAGAACCAACTTCACAGCTGTCTTCTGTTATATACACACACACACACACACATACATGCACATAACACAAACATATTGGCTGAGAAGCACACTGTAGGCACTCAAGGCCAGCACAAGCTAAAGGTCTAAATGACAGCTGGGGATCCCCCAGGCTAACCACTCTGTGGAGCCTGGTAGACTGAGCAGGGGCACATGCAGGGTGGTCTGTAAGTTCCCAGCACCAGGGGTCTTACACTCTGCATGTGGCCTGCATGACCATGACCAGGTGGCCCTAACTGAACTATGGGGTCAGAGGCCTGAAATGATTGAGGGCCAAAGAAATGAACACGGTGTGCCTGAAGCAGTGTGGTCCAGGTTGCTGAGATGTAAAAGCTGGGATCCAGGACCGTGGCCAATCTCCACTTCTTTTAGCCGGGGTAATAAGCAATTTGGTGTCTCTCAGGTGACAAAACTGCTGGTGGATATTTGCCTAGTGGTGGCCCATCACCTTGCCCTGCAGACAAGTAAGTCTCCAGGAGTTACTCAGTCAACTTCAATCTCTGAGCAGCTGTGCAGGAATGTGCTGCTCTTCTCCCACACAGACGGTTTACAGTGCTTCTTGTTGGAAAGCTGAGGCACTAAGAAACCTCTTTTTTTTG